AGCCAGCAACCATTGTACTGTTCATTAGTGCATAACAGTGTAATAGGGGAAACAAAATATTAGATAGATTATTGCTCTATAGTGTAATAATTGCTTGGGAAAAAATCATGATAGATAGAACATGGTCAATACACGTAAGTGTGGGGTGAGGCAAGGGTGACAAGGGAGAGCAGAGAGACCAGCAGGTGCTAGATAATTTGGAACATCCAACATTGAAGGACCAGGCATAGGAGGAGCCTCCACAAGGAAAACTGAAACGTAAGGCTAGACACATATGGAATGACGTAGAGGAGAACAGAGTCTCAGAAGACAAGCCAAGTACTGTAGTGACAGAGGGGTAGAGGCAAAAGAAGCTGTGGCCTTGAAGAGAGTAGTTGCAATAAAATGGCTGAGTTGAACTAGAGATTTCTGTGAGTCAAAGAGTAAGGGGTAATGTTAAGGAAGTAGAGAACATGAATACAAGGCAATTTGGTAGTGAAGGGAAGCCATCTGGAAGGAGTCAGAAGGGATAGTGAGAGTGGGATGTAGGATGAATGACTGAACACTAGATTTATTATAAGTGTTGAAAGAATGGAATTTCAAGTTAGTTTGTATGTGACCTAAAAATTCGAGTAATTAGATGCATTTTCCATTTTCATTTTCAGATTGATTTTCATTTTACATTTTCAGATGCAATTAACGCTATTATATTCTGTACCTACTACAATATAGCAGTGTAGAAGTTAAGAGCTTCTAGGTGTCACATAGATTCCCTAAAAGGTTTAAGAATTGAACCTGTAAGAATTAAATGGGGTGTAATGTGTGTAAAGGGACTGGTATGTGATGATGATGATAACTAACATTTTGTTGAAGTGTGCATAGTTACCTTGGCACTTTGTGCATTTTACATGTCGTCCGTCATCTAATCTTCACAACAACCCTGCCATTGAAGATGGGGAACCTAAAATTCAGAAAGATTAAGTCCTTTGCTCAAAGTCACACAGCTAATAAGTATGAGACCCAAGACTTTAATTCTGTCCTCTATACCATACATTAGTTTATAAGGACTCTAAAATTATACTTTTCTTAAGGGAGCATGTTTGCTGGTGATATGAATATTTTCTAT